TATTCTCTAATGGATATATACAGACCGAAGACGGTCCGTATATATTTAGTTAAATAATATTTTATTCATATTTTTTGGTATTTAGTATTTATTTTTTCCAAAAATAATATTCGGACCGAAAACGGTCCGAATATTATTGGCGCGTCTATACTGTGGACTCCCGCCAAAAATATTTTTTGGTATTTAATATTTATTTTTTTTCAGAAATAATATTCGGACCGAAACTGGTCCGAATATTATTAGCGCGTCTACACTGTGGACTCCCGCCTTAAATATTTTTTGGTATTTAATATTTATTTTTTTTCAGAAATAATATTCAGACCGAAACCGGTCCGAATATTATTGGCGCATCTACACTGTGGACTCCCGCCTGAAATATTTTTTGGTATTTAATATTTATTTTTTTTCAGAAATAATATTCGGACCGAAATCGGTCCGAATATTATTGACTCGTCTATACTGTGACACCGCCAGAAATATACGGACCGATACCGGTCCGAATATGTTCATTGGTATATTCAGACCGATATTGGTTCGAATATTTAGTTTTTCGGACCGACAATATTTGGTCCGTATATGGTCGGTCCGTATACATCATTTTTCTAGTAGTGTACTAATCAAATTTATTATAAATGTATTAGTTCATTTTAACTTAAACTTAAATTCTTATTAATCAGGTAAATCCTATTCTAAAATGGACTATTTCACTTCTCACAGCCACCGTCACCCACCTTCCCATATTTAATTGAGGGAAGTATTCAGGTACTTTAAATGCTTTGTGCGATATGAATTGAAAATATTCATCTTTTTTTTTTTGAACATGTTACAATTTTCTAAGATGGAGGATTCAAACTATAGTTTTGGGGCACTAGGCCTAGAGGCCCAATGGCACTTGCCATTGCAAAGTGCATTTCCCCCTCCCTGGCGGGTTTCGAACCCGCCCATGTCCAAAAAGTTAAGAAAAAAAAAAAAAAACTATAGTTTTGGGATTAACGGATGCATCTTTTGATTAGACATATAAGCATTGGCCCCGATATCCAGGTGCTTTTTATTTTTTTTTTTATTTTTTTTATTTTTGAACATTTTTATCATGGGACCGACTCGAACCGTTAGCCTGAGAGAAGAGGATATGAACCTTACAAAGGTGACTAGAGCCACTTGACCCAAAGGTCAAGTTCTTTCATTTTATTTCTTTGAAAAAACAAAGAGTTGATTTTTTAATTTTTCGGTTAAGTTTTGATTAGATTAATGGTTATTATTATTATTATTTTTCATGATTGCAAAGTGATCCACCAAAATCAATTTTTGCTACTGTCATTTGGACGACAAGAAACCCTTCAAGGGATGTGCCATCAATGTATAAACTTGTACGGCAACCAGATCAAAGTCCCACAAAGAAACTGTTAAAATAAGGTTTCTTTAATTAATAAGAATTGAAGTTTAAGACTTTAAGTACATATTTATGTAAAGGGTAATATAGACTTTTTAAAATAACTTACTACACTTATGATAATTTTGATCAATATTTTTTTACTTATTTAAAACACAAAATTGAGTTTTCACTTAATTCAAAACCAAATTCTAATCAAACCACTAAAGAATAATTAATCCTAAAACTTTTCCGATCACTTTTCACATAAATATATCAAACCGCTAAAGAGTAATTAACCCTAAACCTTTTCCAATCACTTTTACCATAAATATTAAAGTCGGCTTTAGCAAAGGGCCTAAAAGCAAATCACTACAACTTCGAAATTAAATATGCTCACATGTTCAACCAGGCCTTTAGATCCAATGATCTGACCTCAAATCTTTGGATGAGGTGGTCGGAGTTTTGAACTTCACCACTGTCGTGAACTCCATAAAAAAACGGTCTGATAGCTGCGTACCTCATTTGAGATGGTGGAATGTTCACTTGGTCTGAAAACCAATTATTAACAACTAATTCATACTAACTTTCTAACCATTACCCTTGTCAAAAATAAAAAAATAAAAATATGCTCACATGCTACTCTATATAAGAAAGAAAGAAACACAAGACTCCTGCTCATCAACTCATCACCCATGATCAATCAAACTCGACCCATAGACGAACAGAGAGCAAGGTTGATGAACATATTGAAAGACAGAAACAATGAACTTCTTGTGATTAACTAGAAATTCTAAATCAGTAACTCTTTCACAACACGGAGCAATCTAAACAAAACTTAGACTAAAATGTCCTACAAATCTAAATGAACAGATTAAAGACTCAACTGAATGATCATAAAAGATAGAAATAAACAGACTAATGGAAATGCATAGCATGGCACAACAATACATGATCAAAATTAATAACAAATACTTCCGAAAGTCCCAAAACCCAGCAGATGACTCATGAAACCCCAAAGCGATAACCATCTGTGATGAATGAACTAAGGCCAGCTCACTAATGAAGCAACAAACTACATTAAATTCATGAAACTCTACATGGCATTACTATGTCAACTTGTTCAAAGAACCATAATGATATATCTCTACTCAAAATGAAAAGGACTTAGAACTGAAAAAACAGAAAAGTAGCTTCAGGGTAATTGTTCTCTGTATGAGACGATAATTTCTCATAGTAATCTCATATTCCAACCATGCTTCATCAACTCCATAGTTGCTCCCATTTTGTAGGTGTTTATGGGAATTACTGATTTCCCTGCCATCTGTTATAAACAAAGAATCATGCTCCACATGTTAACCATTACTTAGGCTTGTAGAACTCCCATGATATATGATATATCTCGTTGAAACCATATTTTATGAATTCTATAGGTACTTGGCCAAGGATGGATTTAACTTAATAAGATTTAGTACCATGAGTGAGCAAGCATATTGATTCATAACATGAACACACAATTATATGTAGTTTCCACAAAGAAATGTGCCTTTGCATACATGATATGCTGAGATACGTGTCTGCATACATGTTCGTGTTTGTTTCTATATAGTGACCAAGACTAAATATGTCGTGCTGCAAATGCTACCTAAACTTGGAATAACTCAGCTAACCATTTGCATAGAAAGAATTTATTGTGTTATCACAGGGCTATTCATGTACTTCCATTACAAGCATTCAAATCCATCAAGAATACCAGGCCTCAAACAAATTTGCAAAGGAAATACGAAAATCTGTTTTCATCAATACAGAACTCGGAAGATATCAAGAGTTATACAATGTTAAAAATACAACAGCTATTGATAACAGCATAACAAAATTACTAAACAATAATAATCAAGATCTCAGTCGTTGCAAAATAAGAAAAGGAGAAGTGCAGACAACTCCACTTTTCAAGGTGAAGGAGAATTGTTAATCAAATGAATACATTCGAGCAAAATTCAAGCACAACTGATGATCTCTGGTACCTCCCCAGCCTCCACTTTTCAGGGTGAAGGAAACCTGTTAATATACATTTGAGCAAAATTAAAGCACAACTGATGATCTCTGTTATCTCCCCAGCCTCCCCAACCTTTGAATCCGGCTTTATACCCTGGCTGATGCTCGTAAACATGCACTTCCCAATGTGATTTGATATTAGGAACCTTATCCATATCTTCTACTCGAATATTTACCAACCCATTATCAATGCAAGCACCACCCTGCCCTTGGCCCTGATGCAAACCACACTTGCCAAAGTGAACTGCACTAGTCCTAGGACCCCGCAATGTGAAAACTGGACTACCAAATGAAGGATAAACAGTTGCCCACATTGTTATATCCCAATTGTAATCATCAAAGAAACAAAATTCTTTTGCCTTCTTATGGATTTTTCTCCAAATAGTCCGATTAAAAGAATAACCGACATTACCCATTCTCTCTGCAATCAAACTATCCCATCCTTCTCCTCTTGAATTCACATCAAAAGGAGCTAAATTTGCAGCATAGCAATCAGGACATTTTTCAGACTTCAACGATACAAGAATCTGCAAGTTGCGATATGCATTAGGAAAAATAAAGTGATCCTCCTCTATGAAAAGAATATGTCCAGAGTGCTGCCTTGTCTCCTTTAGCCCATCCCACACTGTGTTCATCATCCACCACCAATGATGTTTCAAGGACACTATTTTTGGAGATCGGTGGTTTCCATATTGATCAGGATTCCCTATGCAACGCTTTTTTGCTGCATCTTCCATGCCCTTGCAGTCATTTGATGATACACCAGGAAAACTGTTGGAGAAGATATGGGGAGAATAAGGAGCAAAAATCTGTTTCACTTGACAAAATTTGATACCTTCCACAATCTCATTCATTTCCTCAAAGTATCCATCATGACTAACTATGAGTAGAGTCTCATTAATGCCTGCTAATTGTGACAACATCTGAACAACCACCTGTAGGTACTGAGGCCGATTGTGCACATACAAAACAATAATTATATGATCCTTTGCTAAATTAGGATATAGATCTACATTTCTCGGTGGCAACCTATTTTGCATTTCCAATCGGATTGAAAGCTCATTCTGTTTGGGGAGGCCGAGCTTTTCAAGTTCTGAGGAATTATAACTTCCATTCCAGTCATTATCAAAGCCATTCAAACCTACCTCAGGCCATGTTCTCAATGAAAAAACCAAAAGCAGAACAGCTAGCAAAGTGACTAGAATCCAAGATAGTAAGCGGCTAAGAGCTGCATCTTTCAAGCGGGCTTTCTTGTAATAAGCCATAGAAAAAACACACAGAACATAAAGCAGTTTGAACCCCCAAATTCACAAAATCATAGTTATCTCCTCTAAAGTGTAAAAGACAAAATGGTTAACGTTCATATACAATCAGATATCAGGAAAACAAAACTGAAAAACAACCCATTTCAGAAGAAACTGAACCAATAAATGGGTACGTGCGAAAAACCTCAATGGAGCAGTCTCCACCATCGCATCACAATCTTATTCAAATCACAGCCATGAACAGAAGCCGAGCTCTCCCTTTTCTGAAGCTCCAACCGATAGAAACGAGGTATTGACCGCAAGAAAAAGGCAGAACCCAGCCCTCAAGGAGTTTGGGAGCTCAACCTTTTTGCAATCGAACAACCCGTATTTTCCAGAGAGTTCTCCTTTGGTTCAGATTCCTCCTCTAAGCTACCAGAGAAAATCTCTCCCAAATTGCCCCTCTTTTTTGTTCTTGTTGGTTTCTAGGTGTTTGAGCTAGGATTTATCGTGATTGGGTGGATTGGAGAAGAAAGGGCAGGCGGCCCAGAGAAAGGCTCTTTGGTCGTGAGTTTGCTCGGTGACTAGGGTTTAAAGGGAGAGACCCTCACTCCGTTGGAGAGATCGGATCCCGAAAGGGCAAGAAGGTGTGTGGCGAAGAAGGTGTGTGGCGGCAGCAGGCGGATCAACGGTGGGTAACTACTAATTAGGAAATTTTGCCGTGTTTTGAAGCGGGGAAATTTTGCCGTGTTTTGAAGCGGAGAAATTTGACTTGGGTAGCTGGAGAAGACCGGAAGACTCAAAGGAGAAGATTCTGATTTTGGAAGAACATTAACGACTTCTGGGAAAAATTAGAGATCAGCCGGCCTCGCCCAAACCATGGGTTGGAAAAATAAAATAAAATCTGTCTTCTTGCTGGTTCCATTTAAATTTTTTTTAAAAAAAATTATATAATTTAAACGGTATAATATTATTTAGTAGTTGACAAAAGATAGGAGTTGAATTTAGATGCCGTGATATAAAAGGTCATCTCGTTATGATTATTATTATTAAGTTAAATTTAATAAATAATTTATTAATTATATAATTTATTTTAATTTAATTTAAAAATAATTTTTTTAAAAATAATTTAAACGGTATAATATTATTTAGTAGTTGACAAAAGATAGGAGTTGAATTTAGATGCCGTGATATAAAAGGTCATCTCGTTATGATTATT